ACTCCGTCTAACTTCGCCGTACTTGGTCTCAGAAGTCCTGAGTTACGTGTAGAGTAAAGAGGTTAAGGCGTGATGGGGGTTTTGATGGTCAAAGGAGGGTCATTGTTGGTGGAATAATCGAGGTGTCACGACGTAGTTCGTGACACTAACTCCGCCTAACATCGCCGCACTTCTGCTCCCATTGTCCCTACTTAGCCTAACCCCGTCTAACTTCGCCGTACTTCTGCTCCCATTGTCCCTACTTAGCCTAACTCCGTCTAACTTCGCCGTACTTGGTGTCAGAAGTCCTGAGTTACGTGTAGAGTAAAGAGGTTAAGGCGTGATGGGGTTTTGATGGCCAAAGGAGGGTCATTGTTGGTGGAGTAATCGAGGTGTCACGACGTAGTTCGTGACAGGAGCCCTGGACTGGTACCACATCGGACACCTTGCCTGTGCGGAAAGAAGTCACCGCGTCGATGACACCTTGGCGGTCCGTGTGAATAATGGTAGGGACATCGGTAGATATCTTCTGGGCTTTCCGCACGAAAGCATCCAGGTATGTAGCCACAGCAACCGCTATTGTTTCAGCATCAGCAATAGTAGCGTGAGTATCTTTTAACTTGGCGGAAAAGGTGATCGGTCCGGTGATGGCGATGCCGCAGGATCTATGGGCAAGGGGATTCGCGATATCTGCACTCCCATCAGTGGCCCATTCCAGCCGTGTCCCCGTGAATGGAGGTAAAGCCTTCAGCTGAGCTTCCACTGCTTTAGACAGGAGAGAGATAAGTTCGTTTTCGAACATCGTTTGAGGGAGAAAGAAGCGATCGTACTGGCCCAGCTCCTCGTGTTTGGTAACTAGAGGAGCATCACCTATACTGTCTTGATCCTCCAGGACTGGTAGAATCTGACAACCTGTATGTTGAAGGGTTTCTCGAGCGACTTCCCAGGTGACAAGATTGCGTACGGAGATGTTGAATTTTGATACAGCCCAGGAGCCAGAGTCCAATGGTCCTAGTGGTCTCGCGCACCTATGTGTCTTCCATTTGTTGAGTTTGGGGTCACCACATTGCCAGAGAGCATGCGTGATTGTGAATACTTTAGCTACCATCTTGTTCTTGGAATTCAGCTGCCTATGTATCTGTGACACGGCGGCTACAGCGTTGGCTGCCATGAAGTCTGGAAATCCCATTCCGCCACGCTCCGGAGAAGACGTGACGACCACAGGTTTCAGATTGTATGGAAGTCGATAATACTCCTTGATTTTGACTGAGATAATGGAATTCAATTTCTCGGCATCCGACGAGCGTATGGGGTGCATGTCTAACCTCGGACGAATGGCGCCCAGGAGAGAGACGTGGAGAATACGAGAAAGCGCTGTTAAAGGCAGACGCATTCCCCCGGGACGAGGCAGCACAAAGTTCCTAGCAATTTGTTGGAGACGATGAGCCTGTCGATTGACGTCATTTATGGGTGTTTGTAAAAAGATTTTCTCCTTATTGGGTACCATGTATATCTTTTCTCCGGTTGGTAGCAATAGCTCCACCGGGGTTTTAGCCGCTAAACTCCCCGGGGTATCAAGTCGGGCGTTTGCGACAGGAGCCCCTATGTCGTTGTCAGGTCTGTTTTCAGTGACTGTCCCTTGGATCTCGTTAAGTGAGCTCTGGCTGTCAACTAAGTTATCGATGATGCTGGAGTCGATTTCATGTGGTTCAGACTCGTGACTCGTGTTTCCTCGATTAGATACACCCGGTTTTGTACGACTACCGGGAGCGTAACACACCGGAGCAGTGTTTCCGAGAAGGAAGAGTGTTGTCTTGTCGGGCTTGTGCCATTCGGTCTCCATGTTGTAGGCCATTTGAAAAGACTCCACAAGCGTAGTCAGAGTTTGTAGCTGGTCAACGTCGTCCGCTAATATGACGGTGTCGTCCATCGCAGCCAAGATTTGCACATACATTTGGAGAGTATCTGCATGTTGGTGTGGATGGCCGGCAGCTCCTTGTCGAGTCTGAAGTTTCATCCCTAGATCACCATGCTTGTCTTTTGCGTACCATATGACCATTGCGGTAACAATCACATATTTCGCTGGACTGAAGGGATCCCCCTGCTTGATCTGGTCATTAGTGTAGATAGACTCTGTGACTTTATTCCGAGCACGTACGCGTAGACATACATTTCGAGACCTTTCTTTTTCAAATTCCATGACCGTGGTTGGTAGTCCGAAAAACCGGCAAGCGTCCTCCCAGGCTGAGCCGTGTACATAATCAAAACCCTTCTTTTGATCGCGTTTCAAAGCGTAGACTACTTTTTCTGAGAGGAGAGCAAATCCGTCTAGCGTGCTGAGTAGGTTTGTCATGTCGGCCGTTTGCATCCCCTGCTGCACCGCTATCTGTTGCTCAGGGATGAATCCCATCTGCCAGAAGTAGCTTTGGATCGAGCGGGCGAACCAAGTAGCCACGAGACCTTGGAGGCAATTGGACAGAACGATTCCCCTATGATTGTTGAGATCTGTTGTATCGCCTCGTTTGTAAAGTGGTACAATGTGGTTCTCCTTGAGAATCGGAGGGAAAGCATTATGTTCAATTATATAGTTCATTAGACGGACGACCAGTCCGAGCCAATGGTTCCCACTTTGTTTGACAGCCCATCTTTCCCACTCATCTGGACCGGGAGATGGATTCTGATTTCCTTTCTTCAACATGGTCCTCAGCTCCTCGATTGTTATCAGCCTGGGCCATACGAAAGGTTTCTGACTGGCCGCGAGTCGAAAACGGCGAGATGACGGTGTTTCTAGCCACGGCTTGTCGGACCTGGGGTGTGTGTCTCTGTGAAGGACCTTTTCGAAGTGATTACGGAGAGCGCTCATGTACTGTTCCTGGTCTGTGATGTATACGTTTGGATTGACCGGGCTCCGAATGATAGGCGATATCTTGATTTGTTGATTGGACGAAACTTTCTTCGCCGATCCCGTCTTGATTGCGATATCTCGCAACCTCTCAAATTCAAGTTTACTTCGAGCCTGAGCTCTTGATAAAACCATCCCGGTTAGTCGATCCTCCGTCGTCCTACGAAGAGTTCGTAAGCGACGTTCAGCTTCCATTGCATTTTCTCCGGCGACATATCCTATCCAAGCTCTTTGAACCCGGTTGAGAGTCTCTGTGAAGGTGGACCAAGTGTCACTGGTCGATGCGGATATGGCTCGTCTTGTCAGGTTGATTGTCTCTCTCAATGTCCTCTCTTCACGATTCGGTTCATGTGGTTTGTATGCAGTTGTCTGGGGGCGATAGAATGTTGATTCACATATATTCAAGAATAGCCGACTTGCGAGGGAGTAACAATCATCAAAGTCTTGCTGTGAATGTAAGTCTACATTCAACAAGGGATGTCGGTCAAACAAAGCATCTAACTTCTCTCTGAAGGTTGTGAAGAGCGGGTCGTCAGATTGGGGTTTAAGCAGTCTATGTTTTGTGGGAGGATTTGTCCAAGTTACGTCTCGGTTGACGGGCATGGGGAGAGCAGCGAAGATGGGACGGTGGTCTGTGCCTACGATGAATCTCTGAACGGTCTCAATATAGCCTGCGGGGATATCTGGACCTATTGAGACCCGATCAATAATTGACATAGACCTAGGGACCATGTCCTCGTTCGTCCGATTTTCACTCGTCGAGTAAAAGGTGTAGTCATGACTGATGTCGACATCTTGTTGAAGGAGCCACAAGTCACTACCGCCGGTGTGGATGAGGAAGTCGCGATAGTGGTTGGAAACGGTATCACGGTCAAGATTGTCACGATAGAGAGTCCGTACGGCTTCTTCGTCTCTTAAGGTCCTATTGAAGTCACCGATCGAGATCCATCGGGGGTTGTTTCCTAATTCAGCTTTTACGAAATCCCAATACTCAGCAATCTCATGTGAGGAAGGCTGGGGAGCATAAATACACATAATTTCAGTAGCGATCAGATCTCGTGACAGGGGGGTATCTGGAGATCGGATTCTTAGGTGAAGTAGGTGCCGAGAGTATTGATCCGACTGGAAAGGGATAAGCTGAGCAGGGACACCTTTTCTGACACCTGCAGTTATCCCCCCGGCAGTCGGTCCCTGGCCTGGTGGTGTGGAGAAAAGATTATAGCGCTTTAGGACTCTCTGTAACTCACGATGAATGCCATCTTCGACTATTGTTTCCGTCAAGACGAAGATCGCCGGCTTCAACGAGAGGATCAGAGCCGCCTTAACCACTCGGCCATCGCACCAGGCAAGCGTGTGAGGTGTGCCCAAAATTTGATCACAGTCTGTTCAATTGGGGCAAGAATCATGTCACGACCAAACTTCTTCAAAGCCGAGTAGAAACTCGAAGGAGAGCGTTGGAATTAGATGGAGTATGCCAAGAGGCAACACCTGGGGTCGGCAAGAAACTACAGTCTATCAGATGACATGCAGATGTTCCTGACAAAACCATGACGAGAACCGGTCGCCTCCGAGGGGGTAGCCTCCCAAACCGCAATACAGCGTTTCAAGTGCTTTCTTGTAGGTAATGGGAGTCTCACGAGTTTCCCCAATGTAGACGGCGTTAATGATCATATAGGTGGGAAGGAGCAAGCGATCTGCCGGATGGACGGTGAGGACATAGTGTGCCGTCTTGAATCCCGGCACAGCTGTGGCCAGAGCAGTATGAGAGGGGCTCTTCACTCTGAATTTGCCTGATATGGAAGTGGAGGAGACGTAGACACCCCGGATGATGGGAAAAGAAACCCCTGCAACTTGAAGGGAGCGATACAGTTTGTCGCGAGCAAGGGTCGTGGGTAATTGTCTTCTGAAGCTCGCCTTCTACGAACTATGATCTACGAGTAGGTAGCCGCCGCTAGTGACTCCAAAAGAGACCGAGCTAAACCTCGGTTCGAATCCTATAGGTCACATCAATGCCACCAGTTTTTTACAACTCCACGTCTGGACCGTGCCTCTCTCCTGCTCTCCTGCTCAGTTAAGTCAAGGTATGACTTTGACCTTCCTTAATTCCTTGGGTCGATATCATGATCTTACCGGGCTATCTGATTCTCCTATCTTCACTGCCTGGCTCTCCCCAAGTCAGGGGCGAAGAGAACAAGCAGTACATGACCCCTGTTCAAGGTCTGAACCCATCTCGTCAGTGCAATGTCTCCCTTCCACTACTTTCCATCCCTCCCTTGTTTCTGCCTCTCATCTCACCTCTCAGAGCAAGAGCACGATTTTTCGAATGTCCTGACTTTCTAGTTGCCAGCAAGTATGACCACTCGGCGAGTGTGAACTTCACCTGCCTCGACGGTTCTCACATTATTCCTTTCTCAGCGGTAAACGACGATTATTGTGATTGTCCTGATGAGTCGGACGAACCTGGGACCTCGGCCTGTCCTACGGGGGTTTTCTATTGCGAGAATGAGGGGCATATCCCTGGGAGAGTTTTGAGTAGTCGGGTGAATGACGGAATTTGTGGTAGGTTCATACATTCCATCCCTCATTTATCCATATAAACGATCCCTTATTCTATCTTTGGGTCTTGCCTACCTGTGTGAATTGTGTACTCTAAGCTACCCGAGAGTCACGATCACAAACACAGTCTTTCCCTGCCATAGGAGAAGAAAATAAGTAGGGTAGGAGCAACGCGAGGAATGGAAAGATGTACGGAGGCTGACAAATAGATCCAGAATGTTGCGATGGCTCTGACGAATGGGCTACAGGGGCGTGTCCTAACAAATGCGCTGAGATAGGACAAGAATATAGACGCCAGGTGGAGGCCGAGATGAAAACTCGCAAGACGGTCAATTATAGCCTCACCCTCATTTCCCAGCTGACAAACAGGGAGCCAGAATCAGATCAACCTATATTAAATGGGCTCAAGGGGAGAGGAAACGTTTGCAACTTGATCTAGAAACGAAACGAAAAGAATTGGAGGTGAAAGAGGTTGAAGTTGAAAAATCTAGAAGTGTGTTTCCTTCATCCTCACGATCGATTCATGATCTGATCCGCAGTCGCTTTGGAGACGATGGAAGCGAAGAGCAAACAAGAAATTGAGAAACGTAAAAAGTCACGTTCGTCTTCCTCTTCTTACCAGGGAGAATGAAGTTGTGCTGATCACCAGCTTTGTTTTTATCCCTACTCACCCATCGACTGGCCTTGAGCCGTCTGAGATCGAGAGTCTCAAGAGCAGAAAAAGAGTTGGAAGCCCTTCATGGGATTTTGGAAGATCTCTCCAAAGGGTATAACCCGAATTATCAAGATATGGCCGTCAAAGCAGCTGTGGTAGGCTATGAGGAACTTACCAAACCTCCTGAACCCACAGGCTCCACCGACGATTCGTCAGATTACACGGAAGAGCTAGAGGAGGAAATTGGGGATAGAGAATTGGACGAACTTGAGAGAAAAGATTTAGAGGGTATACTTCTAACTGATATCTCGGAGTCTGATTGGGAAACGGAAGAAGAAGCTGGTCTTCGTGAGTTTTTTCCAGATGTGACCAAGCTGAATGACAGTTTGGAAGATTGATGAATATATCCCGGAATCGATATACGAATCCTGGGAAGTGGTCAGAGATGCTTCTATCGACTGGTTAGTCCGCTTGGGGATCATCGGAAAGGGTTCAAAAGGGAAGACGGATGGTGTTGATGCACCACGTAAGTGTTCCATTCAATAAATTCTCTTAGGAGTGGAGCTGATAGTAAGATGTGACTGCTGCGAGAGAGAAACATAGGAACCTCAATAACGAGTTGACGAAACTTCAGAACGACATTAAATCATCCTCTGAAACGCTTGAGAAGATGGGACTGGGTTTTGGACCAGAGGCGGAGTGGAAGAAATTAGACGGGACTTGCGTAGATACCGTAGCTGGCGAGTGAGTCTTCTTTCTCGTGCATCATATAGAGCTGACATATGTCTAGTTACACATACGAATTGTGTTTCTTTGGTCGTGCTAGTCAGAAGAGTAACAAGGATTCTTCTTCCAATCATCTAGGGTGAGGTCCTCAGTGCGTTAAGGCCAGATGGATGGACTAATGGATAGGACTTTCGGTGAATGGAATACGTCGGCAGAACCAGCTACATACGACTACTACACTCGTCAGGTGTATAAAAATGGGTTAGCCTTTCTCTTTTCTCCCCATAGTTCGAACTAATGGAAAAGTGCTAAATGTTGGAACGGGCCTATGCGCAGTGTGACAGTAAGTCTTAAGTTTCTGTTGTGTCTAATCACTCATTGTGCCAGGTGGACATGACTTGCGGGACGACCAATGCGTTACTGCAAATCTCCGAGCCAGAGAAATGTGAATACAGGTTCAAAGTCACTACTCCTGCTCTTTGCTGGCCACTGGACTCGGGAGAGCAAACGGTCAAGGAGGAACTGTGATCGTATCGTGAGATCCACAAGTTCACACATGTTGATCGATATGCATTGCATTTGATGTACTCTTAAGATCCATGAGAGACCGGGGCGGGTTTGGCATGAGCATGAGCGTTTGCAGTAGCGCCAGGAGCGGAATCCGGCTCTTCTCGACAAGGTGGAGGAATCGGGGTTTGAGGGTCAATAGGAGGATTGAGGATGTGACCGATTTTGTGGTAATCTTTGTGATTGGCAAAGAACGATCTCCAGTGTTCCAAACCCTGCACATAAGCAACAGGCCGGCTCAGCGGTTCACTGTTGTATGAGAGTCGTGAAGATGAATGGAGTGGGACCAGACAAAACTCACTTTCATCTCATCAGGTGAGAGTCCTCTGACATCATGAGTCAGATGTGTTTCAAAACATCCTGTCACAAACGCCCTACTGGCGTCTCTACCAGTCCTGCTCGTCAGCCCATCCCTCATGCGATCATCTTACCACTGGATGAACGATAGTTGGGGCATGACTACAGTCAATCAATCATAGATTTTTACCGAGCACGCATTCTTACTACGATGAGGAGTATGATCTTGTAGATAAATTTTGATAATCAAACTCACATCATATTATAACTCCCTCCTTTCCCATAAACCCTCCTATTCTTGCTCACGTCATATACCTCACCAGCAATAGCCAGATAAACAGGTCTATCCGGCGTTCCATCATAGAAAGCCAGTTGAAGCGGGGTAAACTCTTGCAACTCTCTTCTCCAAGGCCACCATTCCTCCATTTTCCGAAAGTACGGTCTTAACTCATCACCTAATCCAGCGTCCCAAGAACCCGTGAAGAACCTACATAAGAATGGAAGGAACAGGATGAATATGATGATACGAGGGAAAAGGGAAGGAGGATCGTCACCGAAGGAAGCACGTTTTCGTTGACGTTCTTTCTCTTTTTCAACGGCACGACGTCGACGGGATTCTTCTTGAGCGGCAGAACGGGCTTGGTGTTCTAATCGCGCTCTTTGACCTTTGAGAAATGGTTGATTGGCTGGTTTTGAAGAGACTTGATTCCCATATCTACACCTTAGCAATTTTCACATAGCACTCACAGGTGTCCTCTAGTCCCTCCCTATCCTGGACGACCAGGTGAAGCGGAAGTGGGATGACGGCGATGGAGAACAAAGCACTGTAAGAGGAATGGGAGTAATGAGACTTTATGCATACTAATAAGAAAAACACGAACTCACGCATCCAGCACCGTATCATATATTTGTTCTCTGGGAGCCGTTCCCGGACGTGTACGCCTGTGTGCTGATGAAGATTAGCAGTGGGTCGTCTGATACGACAGTAAACTCTAACCTCCGGGAATATCATCCCACTCGGTGTTCTTATAAACACTTTCCGGTGAGTCTGACATGGCTTCTTGTATACTAAGCCTTATCAGAGCTACACAAATCTGACGCTGTTGGATAGCCAGACAGCAAAGCGGTCAGTGATCAGTACTACTCGTAGTGATCAAGAAGATTCGAATGCTAGAGGAGGAGGAAAAGGAGGAATGTGATCGATGGTTGCCACGTGGCATCGCATCTCCTCTTAACCTCTCCCGCCCCGCAAGGTTCCTTGGTGGTTCAGTTTCACATCATCTCTCTCCTTCCCACCTCATACTTTATACCCAACACTCCTCGGCCGGTAATCTCTTCGTCTATCAGACGCAGGTGGTGATTTTGCGCTCGTCAGTTCCATTTCGAGGTGAGCTACTCCCCCGTGCCATGACCACGCTGACCGACAGTGGAGTGACCCCACTAAGGAAGAAACCTCCTTTTCCTTGCCTTTGACCATCAGCATCCCTTCCATCTCTTTTTGCCATTCTCTTCCCCTCTTTCTCGTCATCATGGCTTTTGACCTCGTGATTGATAATTTGACTGTGTTTTTTCTCACCGTCTTCGCCGCTCTTCTAATTTGGCATCGATTTTTCTACCAACCCCAACCTCTGGTTCATCCTCTCTTGCTGGGCAAGCAGAGTGAGGTGTCTTCAGTCAGAAGGGAAGGTGAAACGGGTGTTTATAGATCATGGGCTACTGGACAGGGTACACCGGTGAGTTAAACATGCTCTAATTGGTAGCATGGAATGACGAGGTACTTGACGCTGACGTCAGTTAACCGTTCGACCTGCCAGCACTTTGAAGACTGTGCAAGATGTCGTTCAAGCTCCCAAAGGTGTACCTTCAGTTGTACCCCGCTGCATTCTGGATACTTCTGTACGTCTTCAATCAACGTCCGCCATGTATCTGCTGATTATTATAGCTCACTGATGAAGCTTTACAAGAGATCCTACGATTACTCCCTATCGGCCTTCAGACTCTTTACCCAACACTGTCTACCTCTCCGACCGCTCCAACTCCAATACTTACCCTTCTACCCCCATCACCTACCACATCACTCCCACTACTCTTACTATATCTCTCTTCACCACCCTGCTCCCCCCTGGTCGTTCTTCCCTCCCCTACTCTGCTCACCACAGCCCTCACTGCAACGTGCCATCCTCGTCCAGGACTGGTAGTGGTCCATGCTAGCATCGCAGACGACGTGCTGGAACAAGTGCTCGAGGACTGTCACACTTCAGCCGGAGTGCTCTTGGTGGGTGATGAGAGAAAGGAAAAGACCGACGTGATGGGGAGTGCCACTTCAAGAGGAATGACTGTTCATTGGTGGGAAGAGATCTGGGATGCTGCAGAAGCTAGAAGCAGTACGACGCCTCTTCCTGGTGAGTCTCCAATCAGTCTCTCCGACTACTGTCCTGTCTGATAATCAGATGCACACTTCAGCGACGTGCATAGCTACTTTTACAATATACCCAAAGACGACGCACCTGTGGCCATAGTCAAAGTCACGCACATGGTGGGTGTCTTAATCCCATCATCGAGCAAAAAGCTCATGGGCAGAATGTTACGGCTGGAATCGCCGCCCTGCTGTCTCTCTTTCCTGCAGACAAAAGACCTACGGCAGCATTAGGTGATGTGGTGGCCAGTGCCGTCAGACTGGATACTCCTCTCGGGATGAGCATCGCTCTGGCTAGCTTGTGGAGTGGTAAGTGTTTTCGGATGATAGGTTTCAGCACTGACTGCCAGCTGCTGGGTTTAGAATGATTGGACATCCCACGCCTACCTGGGAGCCGACTGAAGGTGGAGAGGCAGCGGAATTGGAGCAAATTGCGGATACAACCTCTGGTCTCCCAAAACCGAGCATCTTATTCATGTAAGTGAAAGTATCTTGCTGAGTGGGCCACCTGATACAATAGCACGTCCGAACACCATCTATCATTGCTCACGGAACTGCAAACATCTTTTGTGGCACATCCCCTTTCGGCTTTTGCTGCTCGGCATCAGACACAGTCAATTCGGGCGGGACATGTCTCGCGAGGAGGCTTGCTGGATCGATACCTTTTCCGTAATGTCCGTGAGGGTATGCTGGGCGGTGTTGCTGGTGAACGTCTTCGTGCTGTCATCGTCGTTGGCGGTGGGTCATCTTCCACTCTTGTCTGGTTTATCAAGGCTGTTCTCGACTTGGCTTACAAGCAGATGGACCTCCTGCGGATTCTTTGGGAATGTCTCACCTACTTCTCTCTCTTCCTCTCACCAGACTTCATCCATCTTTCTACGCCACCGGACCCATTTTCGTTTCTCACTTCTACGACCTTCAAACGCCCGCGTCCTCCTTGCAGCGGATGGTGTCAAAAGTAGAGGATGCAGTGGAGGAACGAGCACATGTCGGTCCCCCTGCTACCAACATCGAGGTCATATTGAAGGGAGAAGAAGTGCATTTGAACAGGGAAGATGGGTATGCGCTAGAGGGCGAGGTGTTCGTCAGAGGCCCGAGTGTGTTGGAGAGGATTGATCCAGCTTCTCCTGGAACCGCGGAAGGGTGAGTGGTCTTCACTGTGGCTCGTGTGCACTCCCGCACTGCCCCTCGAAAAACTCGTCAGATTCCAGAAGCTGACAGATAGATGGATGGATATCGGAGAGAAGGCCAAAGTCCAGACGAACGGGACATTTGTCATGATGTCTCCTATTATGTGAAACGAGCTGTCTTCGACATTATGTCTATTCACGATCTTATCCCTTCATGCCTTTCAAAGGCGTCAAATTGATGCTATACATAATGAATTGAGCATACCTTCTTGTGACTAGACGTCATATTAATTACATCTGTATATGCATCTGGGCGTGTCACGTTGTCATCACAATCATTGTCAATGCTCAACTTCTGTCGTGTCTGTCATCGGGTCATTATTCTGTTTCGTTTCCTTCGTCTTCCCGGCTTCGGGAGGACGGTAGATGATGCTCCCAATCAGATAGATGAACCAAGACATGATCGGTCTCATGACCCACAACTGTCTGCCTCGTCAATCGTTACTCCTTATCCAGCCCACAGTCTCAGAGATGAGAGAGAAGGGAGAGATACAATCTAAGCGGCTTAGACAACTCACATCGGACCTAAAATGGGAAGACGTGTTATTGCCATGTTGAGTTTCGGGTCACCAATCCTGAACACCTCCCATGATCCCTCTGGTCCCTTATCTTTGGTGATGAGCCGAAGATGAAGGATAGTACGTTGTACGATCTTTGGTCCTAGTTTGAGATGTCGAAAGTAAGTATATGTGATAGTTCCATTGCTATCTTGTCAAATCGACGCTCTGATAAATGTGTATCGTACTTGTAGTACACTATATATTGTGTGAGTGAGCAGAGATGGAGGAAGAGAAAATGTACTGTTCATCCCATATTGGTTCACCTACTAAACCAGAATCAGAACATATCGAGCAAGTGAAAGCTAAAACTTTCGCTATTCGAGTTTTACCTCGTATTCGTAGATCGTCAGTGTCGAGAAGACAATCTTCCTTTTCGTTAGCAACTCTTCTACTGATGGGCCGATGGTAATTATCATAAGATTCCCATGGACATGAGGGGGGACATAGACATGGTCTATGGTTTAAGATGTCAAACGCAATACACCACTGGATCAGAACAGATATGGGATGGATGAATATAGAGAAGAGAAAAAAGAGAAGAGATGGAGAAAGACACCATTCACGGTACAACATTCCAAAGCTGCTTGCCATTCTTCCCTTGATTGAGACATGATAAGCCTAGCAAGCTCTCGCGCTGCGGAAGATGTCGGTTCCATCTCGGTTCAACGTGAGAGATTTTCTTGGAGGAGTGAGAGAGATGAGTTCATGCGAGCCTTGATGTCCGACTCGTCAGTATATGAGTAGTTGTATTCTATAGTACTCGTCGTCACGACTTTCTCGTCCATACCACCCTTTCGGATGACCTCTGGGTTTATGCCCCATGCCAACTCAGGGTCCCGTACCTCGTAGGTATCCGACCAGACGACATCCGAAAGGCTGTCACATCCGAAAAACCCGTGATGACGAGTAGTCGTATCGCTTGTGGGTTGTTTCAAAACAGAAGTCCGTCGTCTAGTCGACGATCGGCGAATAGGAACCATTCAAGCCACGTGCCTGACGGCGTTATGTACCTTAACGCCGACGCCGCGCAATCGCATGGCGTCACTTCTCAACAAAAAGTCGGGAAAAAGTTGGATGCTCCGCTTCCACCATACTCGACTCCTTATCTAACACGGGCATGGTGAAGTCGATGTTTGGACGATTGACACAAACAATTCTCGGTCGGAACGTCCAGTGGTGTAAGTTCAAGGTGGTAAGAGGAACCAAGAAATCTTTAGGAAGCAGCCTCATTCCTCCAACCACTATTGCCTCGGAAGAAGATGCCGTATCTCCCATAGCCAAACTATGGCTTCGTTCTCGTCTAGTCGACCTACCGTCTGAAGAGGGTGATCTCACCGAAGATAAGACGACTGATTTGGGGCACAAGTCGAGAAAGAGATATAGAGAGGGGGTTCGGAGAAGACCAGTGACACTGGAGAACGTATGGATCGCCGCTCAACTGGTAAGACTGCTCTGGCTGCATTTCTTGATGTTGTTCTGGTTGAAACGCAAAAGACATGCCGTAATGTTCATCTTTGACAAAGTGACCTCTGGTTTTCTTCCGACTTATCAGTAAGTGCCTTAGCTTCATATCAAAAAACGGAATCGAGGCTGACGAGAAAGGCTATGGGCACAGAGTCAGATGTTGGACGTTGTGCAACGTAGCATCGAGGCCCCTGTAGACTTGACAGAGGTGTTCCAAGTTGCTTTACAATCGGTCCTCGTCATGGCCGTCAATCACATGTGGCGGAGGGTGGTGACTCCAAGCCAAAGACAATTTGAGGTCAGTCTTCTCATCCTCTCAGAATAATTGATCTGGCTGACGTGAAGCGAGAAATTCAGTTTGAAATGGACAGAGCTTATTTGGCCGCTCAGATCTCACTTTCGATCCCAGCACTTTCCCATCCCTATACTGTGGCATTGTTACATGAGGCGGAGCTTTTTCACGGATCAGGATTCTACACGCTCACCTCTGCTTTCCGAATCCTCACGCCAATTCTAGAGTTTCTGGCTCAACTCGGTCTGGTGATCCGCACCCTTCACTCGGCTACCCAAGTCCCTTTTTTGACCTGGTCGAATGTGATCCTCATGAGTCTGACTCTTGCTCCCATCTTACTCAATTACATCAGACAGAAGGTCCCCTATGGCTTAGCACGAATGAACTCTCGATGGAATCAATGGAAGACAGAAGCATCATTGATGAAGGCAATAGGAACGGGAGGACGTTACAAGGAGGAGGTTATCCTTTTCCAACTCAAGGATTGGGTAATGAAAAGGTGGGAATCCGCAGCACTGAACATTCTGTTTGACTACCAAGGTCTAGGTGGGCAGATAGATCTGACTTCGATGGTTCTTGATGTGGGAGAAAGAAGTCTGGATACAATATTCTATGTGAGTTGTTCCTGTTCATCCTTCCCCGTATCTTTGTTTACCAATACTACATTCCCCATGTCATTCCCATCCCAAAATTTCTCCATTAGTACGCGCTCAAGAAATAGTTAGAGGGGGTCGTAAAGATGTTATCTGTAATATGCTGACTAGTGTACAGGCTCTCTTGGCGTCCCGCGCTTTACCCACTTCTCTGACGTTGGGTTCTTTACGCTTGTATCAAGGCACGGCGGATTCCCTCTACTATTCTGCCCAACAACTCACCACATCTCTATACTCAGCTTACCAGTATATTTTCCTCTTTGCGGCCTTTGTCGAGGCCACAACAAACCCTCAGTCGCTTGAGATCGCCCATCGCTCTCGACGTCGTCTCCAGCCAGACATACCTTTGATCGATTACGAAAACATCCGTTCGACTGGTGGAATGAAGATCGAAGCTCGCAATCTCAGTTATACCTATCCCGGTGCATCCACACCCACGTTGAAAAATATCAACCTCTTCGTACTTCCCGGAGAAACACTGGCCATCGTTGGGTTCAACGGGGGAGGTAAGACTACTCTTATCAAAGCTTTGTTGGGGTTATACGATCATGCGGGTGAGTTATACATCAACGATCGGCCTATCCAAGAGTTTGATCCACGATCTTTACATGACCGAATGTCATGTCTGTTTCAAGACTTCTGTAAGTATTCCTTGACTCTCTGTGAGAATGTAGGAGTGGGAGATATAAATGAAATTAATGAGAGGGAACATATCATGCAAGCGGTAAGAAAAGGAGGAGCTGATCAAGTGGCCTACAAACTGGGATTGGAGAGAAACTTGATTTCTTATGGTGTTCTAACTCGTGACCAAGAGAAACTTTTAGATTCTTCGACTGTTTCGACCTCTATATCAGTCCCAAAGCTTGAAAAAGAATGCGGACACACAGAAGGTAAGGTTCCTCAAATTCCCGATCTGACGCTTCCAGGTGATCTGAAATCTTCGGTCAAGTCAGATTTGCCACAAGCATTGATATTGTTTACTACAATCAGTGATGAGAAAACTCGCAAAATCCATGGCCAGCACGAGACTCATAAGAATGTAAAACCCAAGTCGGAAGTCAAAGCAGGGCCCAATTTGGCGGAGATCCATTCTTGCCCAGAGCCCAAGGCGAGGACATTCAAGGTGGAAGAAGAGGGCAGAAATCTCCCCGCCACTGCGCTGTCCGGAGGTCATTGGCAGCGAATAGCTTCATCCCGAGCATTCCTCCGTGCCGATCGAGCGGATCTAATAGTGTTCGACGAACCTTCTTCGGCTTTGGATCCAAAAGCAGATTCAGATCTCTTCCAAAGGATCCATAATTTATCTCATCCTGGTTCCGCCGGCAGACCAACGATGATATACATCAGTCATAGGTTCAGTACGGTCAAGAAGGCGGATAAAATTGCAGTGGTGGAGAACGGTACGATCATAGAGTTGGGGAGTCATGATGAGTTGATCGTAAGACGAGGGAGGTATGAGGAGTTGTTCAGGTTACAAAAAGAAGGATTTGATTGAGGTGAGTTGTGGTTGTGTCTTAATCTCAACAGTCTCGTTTGAGCAAATGTTCAGACGTTGGAGGTATATTGTTGGGAGGAATTGAAACTTCAAAGATGAGAGAAATATATCATTGCTTGGATTTTTTTTTATTTGTATCATACGTACATATCATAGCTATGGCATGCATCATACATATCATCACATCTGTCAAGTACACAAGAGAGACTGACACTGATGGATACGTTCACATGATTCCCGAGTACGCTTCCGAACTTCCATTCTACTTTGATGTGTGAGAGTCATAGGAAGTGAGGAGTCGAGAAGAGAGGGGAGGACTATGCATATCTAAGTAAATCATACCGATATTATACAGATGAACGTCTGAAATCCCGCCAATCAATCTCACGTCTAGGTCCAGTACAGGTCCATCACTCGTGACTATCTATCTGCCCTTATGCAAAACAGATATCACCTCCCTCCTAATTGCTTCTTCCTATAGCATCCACCATCTCTTTTGTACATTGGGCAAACAGGA